CATAAGGCACTACGATGATAGCAGACCGTAAAAGTGGAAATGGGAATTCATGGGTACTATATTTTAGAATAGAAAGCATACATTGTGTAAAAGTAAAGAATGATGCAAAATATGATGGTATAAAAATGGTATAGAAATGATATAAAATAAAAATGAATAATGATATAAAATATACAGAAATTAAAACTGTTCAAATTCAAGTGTTAATCAACACTTGATACACATGAAATATTTAGCCATAAAATTAATGAATATTGGGCCCTCCGTGGTGGCACAACGGGTTAGGACTCAGCACTGCAAGCGAGAAGCAGCTGTTTTAGCTCCAGTTCCTTTGCCAGCCCCGGAGGTGATCCACATGGCTGGCAAACCTCTCCTGACCTGCCCGCTGCATCGATCTGGCTGTTCTGCTCCCCAGTCTGTCTTTGGTGATCCTCTCACCGCCCCTACACCTTTGGCTTGTACCTCACTTCGGTATTAATGAATAAATAAATAATCTTTTAAAAATAATGAATATTGATACAGCAACTGTGATGGATCTTAAATATCCTAATGAAATCATTACCAAAAGATAGCACATAGTATATAATTACAGAAATGAAACTTCTAGCACAAGCAAACTATAGTGAAAGTAAACAGATCAGGGGTTGCTTGGTTACAAGGAGAGAGGAAAAAAGTGAAGTGTGGGAGTAGGGGTCAGGTGCGGGACATGGCAGTCTTCAGGGCTGATGAGAGTTGCTCTAATTTACTCCGTGATTCTTTCTGAAGGAATGAAAGTGCGTTTTAACCATCTACACTTTCTTTGGCGTATGAATTAAACAAAGAAAAAGGAATAAGATGCAGTTAACTCGAATAGTTCTATACCTATCAAGGGAATTTAATTTTTCATTAAAATTTCTTTGCAAAGAAAAGTTCAGGCCCAGCTAGCTTCACAGGTGATTCTATCAAACATTCAGTGAGGAAGGCGTACCAAGGCGCTGTGTCTAGAGACTCAATGATATTTCTTCTAAGTATCATTCTGTCATTTTCTTTGGCTTGATAGCTTGCTTTATTTTTCAACATACATTAGGAGTTTTTCAATGATCACTCATTGAACAGATCGACTGACTAATTATAGCAGTAAATTAGCCTGGCTATGTATAAGGGGAGTAGGAAGAGACCTGAACTAAGGAAAACCCCTTGTTTTATGAGCTCAGCCCCAACCCAAGAGATGAAAGATGGAGAAGGAAAACTACACGTGGACAGACGCTGCTCTCGGAGACGGCAGGCATCCTCCTGTCTGAGCTAGGGCTGCACTTCATGATCTGAGGCCCGGCGAGCCCCACGTTACAGCCTGTGCTGGCCTGGGGGTGCCGTGAGGAAAGGGGGCTACTGGCACAGCCTCCCTCCTCATGGTGCCGTGTCTTTGGGGACATCGGGAGGAACTGTGTCCCTAGTTCCAGGGCAGATGATATGCATAAAAGTGGGGGTGTGAGCTACGGTGGGCAAGGTGGGTAGGGGAGAACCTTGAGGGGGCGGCTGCGTGTATAGCCACTCTCTGAAGTGGCTAGAGGAGCGCTGAGTTATCCAGCCCAGCGGGTGTCATTATGAAGAGAAACGGATAGAATACAACTGTACTGGCAGATACTGAAACTTGTGTCACATAGCTGTGTCGTGGTATAGCTTGGTCTTTCTCAGGATTCATCAATGGACTGTTATTCAAATGCCTTCAGTTGGGTGTCAACATCAAAGATTAGGTATACACATAAGTTTCTTGGACTATGCAAAGATAATGACCTTAGAAGTTGGCTTTTGCTGGTATAGGACAATCGTGCCAGCTGCCACCTGGCAAAGAGCAGCCCAGGCTCCCCCTGATACCAGGGACACCCTCTCACATATGCTCTGGTGACTCCACCAGCTCAGTCCCTCCAGCCTCCAGGCAGGCTCCTCCCCAAGGTCTGGCAGGAACTGGGGACAATTAAGCGACTGTTTTCCCTTAACCAGGAGCTGAGGGACCTTTCCTTGTCCGCTCGGTGGTTTATAGGGTGGTGTCCGCCTGGCTGTTCCTGCATCAGGGACAGACACAGCCAGCTCGGGAGGTGATGGGCTCACAGAGGATGTCTCCTTCATTTTTCGTTGCTGATATTCAAAACAGCAGCTGAGGCCCAGACACTGATTTGAAGGTGCCTGATGTAACAAGGAACAACATGGGCCAGATGGGCGGGGCTCGAGGTGAGCACAGTGTCTCTGTGCTCAGAGGTCAGATGTGCCCTCCCTGTGGTCTGTGGGTGACCAGGTGCATGGGTGTTTCTGTGTGTGTGTGATTGCTGTGGCTCTGCTGAGAGCAGGCTAAAAAGGAGACAGGAAAATGTGTGAATAAGGAAGTGAGGCAGAGAAGGGATGAGAACAGTAGGACAGAGGGGAGGGGAGAGGGAAATAGGCAGAAGACAGGAGGAGGTGGAGAGAGAAAAGACATCACTCCACGATTTTCCTCTCTTTGCTCCAGGGCACAAGCACAACTGGGCCCCCATTGAGCAAGTGGGGTCACTGCTGAGGGGGATCTGCAGTCTCTTGGTGGCTCCTTTGAGCTCAAGCATCTGCCCCCCTCCTGCATAACTGCCGCCTGTGCATCACTGGCTACTCAGCACAGGTGAGTAAAAAGACTCGCATGATAAACACGGAAGGCGTGCGCCCACTCTGGAGCAGTGGCCCGGCATTTATCCCTGGGCAGCGGCGGAGGGAGGACTTGGTCTTGTTACAGTCGTTCGGTAGTGTGATCCTGCATCTTATCTGGGTTGTAAACGCATGGCGCTGTAGGGCTCAGGGTGATGTCTGTGGGTGTGTGTGTGTCTGCTGATGTTTATTGTCAGATACAGTTCCTGTGGTGGCCGCTGCGACCTGATGTGTTCAGAGTCTCACTCAGCGATCACATTCTCCGTCTTTGTTCCACACTGGTATTGTCTGCTGTGGGAGAAGGGTTCCCGTGCGTCTCCCCACTGCGCAGGTGGGTAATGATGGGAGCTCAATGCAGCAGCAGGTCCCCGGGGGTCCAGTTCTCGTCTGGTGCTTACGTGTTTGCTCTCTGACATTCAGATCTCTCCTGGGAAAGGGGGTAACTACCCCCACATACAGTGATACAGTGCTGTCTTGAGGACTGAATGAGACAGAGCACACAGCCTGTCCAGTGCCACACCTGGCCCATGACTGGTGCTCAGGAAGTAGAGCCCTTAGCACATTTCCACAAACCAAAGTTTGTATCATGGAGGTCATTCTTCCATCTTCCATTGCTTTCCAGGGCAGCACAGGTAGACATGGGGAAATAAAGGCCTCTCATGACCTGGTCACATAGCCTGATCCTTCCAGGAAGCAGGACCCTGCTCCAGTCAATGTCCTTCTTGGTCCAGTGGTTCCTGCTTATTTGCTCTGGCATCTCAGTGAGGCTGACACAGTGCAGGTCAGTGGCCAGGCAGGCCCCACATGGAGGTCCAGACACTGCTCTCAGGAGCCCTCCCCAAGTTCATGGTCCCTGAGAAGGTGTTGCTGTCCTGCTCCGCTACTTGAGTGAGTCCGTCAAGATTTCTTCTTCATCAATGTGTGTGTGTGTGTGTGTGTGTGTGTTTGAGAGAGAGAGAGAAAGAGAGATCCTAACTCTAGTCTCACTGCCAAAGAAATGGTGAGCTGTGACTGCCTGTGGTTCTATTCTTTGTTGTTTTATGTCACTTATGAAATGAAGAAATATTTCCGTAACAAACCATACATCTCTAGATACATTTTTATGTTTGGAAATAAAGGTCTGTGAGATCCCTCTGCAAAGTGTTTAATAGTAAAGATGACTGACATGTCTCGGGCCAGCGCAGTGACTAGTGATGTCACTCAGCATGCCTGATTTCTCAGAGACATGCTCCATGTGGAGGAGGGATTTGATATCCTGCGGATGGCTCTGTCGGCTCATTGTTGTCAGTCACTTTCTGTATTTAAGGAAGGTGCACCTTTGCACACACTGGAAATAAGTCCTTTCTCTTCTCAGTTAAAACAGATATAAGAGTACTGATTAATTAGTGCTAAGATGAGGATTTACGTAAAAAGTGTATGTAAAACCTTAAGCCGAATGCTGCTTAGTGTACATTCGTGATAATTTTTTGACATTGTTATTAAGGTTAGTTTGCAAACCCTGGGTCAACATTGTGTTAAAAGGGAATATTAAAAATCTCTGATCAGTAGGGTCTGCCATGTCACTGTAAGCTGGTCACAGATTCTTACATCTTCTAATCAATTTAGAGAGTTACATATATATTTGAGGAAAGCACAAGTCTGTGTTCTGCTTCTCTCATGATTTTGCCATATCATGCAAATTTTGACTTTCAGTTAGCATGATATATGACGCACCATACCTGAGTATTAGGAATTTACATTTTTTGTTTACTTTAATGAAATCAATCCTTTGTGTCATATCTGTGACGAGGTGGTCATTCAATAAATAATTCTGGAATAAAGAAAACATGTCCTCTGGTTCCGTGGAAGGAAAACTTGTAGGATTGTGAAGGTGTGATATACCATTGGAGATCTCTTGTGACAGACTTTTAAAACCACAACAGGTATGAGCAAAAAATTACTTAAAAGTAAACAGCTTCAGTGGCCTCCCTGAAGCCTCCCTGGGTTAAAGCACAGCATTGTGAAGCTACTGCAGCTACTGCAACCACTGCAGCATGAGTTTGATCCCAAGCCAGAGAGGTGACCCACATGGTGCAGCAGACCTCTCCTGACCCGCCACTGCTCCCCTCCAGCAGTGTGTTTCAATACACCTGCCTGTTCTGCTCCCCACTCTGTCTCTGGTGAATATTCTCACCCCCCACACACACACCTCTGGCCTGTACCCTAGTTCTGTATGCATAAATAAATAAATCTCTAAAAAAATTAAATAAATGAAAACCTTCACATAACAAGACCATTGCTGTGTTTTTATGGCTATTTCTAAAATTTCTACCTCTCCCCTTTCCTTCATCCCCAGCAGAGACATGAGCAGCATGAGGCGGGAGAACCAGACTAGCATATCCGAGTTCCTCCTCCTGGGGCTCCCCATCCTTCCAGAGCAGCGGGGGGTCTTCTTCGCCCTGTTCCTGGGCATGTACCTGACCACCGTGCTGGGGAACCTGCTCATCATCCTGCTCATCAGGCTGGACTCGCGCCTCCACACCCCCATGTACTTCTTCCTCAGCCACTTGGCCTTCAACGATGTGTGTCTCTCATCTGTCACTGTCCCAAAGACATTGGCAAACATGTACACTAATCAAAAGTCCATCCCTTATGCAGGGTGCATTTCCCAGACTTATTTTCTAATACTGTTTGGCTGTCTTGACAATTTCCTTCTGGCAGTGATGGCCTATGACAGGTACGTGGCCATTTGTCAGCCCCTGCACTACACCACCATCATGAGGCCAGAACTGTGTGTCTCCTTAGTCGCTGCATGCTGGTTTTTCTCCAGTCTCCACTCTCTGCTGCACACCCTGCTCCTGGCCCGACTGTCCTTCTGTGCTGACAGCACCATCCCCCACTTCTTCTGTGACCTCACTGAACTCCTGAAGGTGAGTTGTTCGGACATCTCCCTTAACGATTTAATCATCCTCACAGAGGGGGGACTGCTCTTCATCTTTCCGCTGAGTGGTATCTTGGGCTCTTATGTCCGGATTTGGGCCACCGTGCTGAGAGAGCCTTCAGCTAAGAAATTCTTCAAAGTCCTGTCTACCTGTGGCTCCCACCTCCTCGTTGTGGCTTTATACTATGGGACCATTGCAGAAGTTTACTTTTTCTCTTCATCATCCACCTCCAATGATAAAAACATAACTGCCTCTGTGATGTATATGGTCGTCACCCCCATGCTGAACCCCTTCATCTACAGCCTGAGAAACAGAGACATGAAACGTGCCCTGGAAATGGTTGTAAATCGGGCTAAGTTCTTGATGTCAAAAGACTCAAGGTGAACCTGTTAATAACCGCTCTCTTTGCTGAAAGACACCAGCTTCATCACCAAACTGACTCAAAGATTCTGACATTTGCTTTATAATTCTTGGAATACATGATGACTGGCTGCAACATCATAGGTCTTGGGATGTGGGAGCAGGGAGGATGTTTACTGGCAGAACTGAGAGTGGCAAGGCCTTCAGTGCTGCCAACTCCGTGAGAGCCAGCCTGTCTTCCCCCGGTCCCTCACCATCGACGCACCCAGGCAGTCAGAAAGATATCACAAACACTTTTGGTAATAGAAATTGAATTTCCGACTTTTCATCCCCATAATAACCTTTTGATTACACATAGCTTCATTTTCTCTTAATCTGGTTTTATTTCAGTTGACCTGCCTTTAATAAATATATACATTGATGTCATTTTGAAAGCTGTTTTGTTATCATGTTATCAGTAAGTGCTTTAGCTCTTTCTAAAAAAGAAATTTTCTGAGATGATTGAAATATCTATTATTTATTCAGATGTAGTAACACTGGATATAAGTTTATGTAAAAATTCATCAGGCTATGTATTTCGAATGCATAGAGTTTGTGCATACATGTGAGAGAGTAACACAAAAAAGGTGGGTGAGAAAAACAAACCATGATTAGAATATTATGAGTGCAATATTAAGGATGAGGTGTATGCATAAATTATATAAATTGGTGAGTGTGTATTTTACAGTTAATATATGTGACCCCACAATAAGTAAATAATACATGTTCACATATGATACTTTCACATATTTATATGACAGCACCACATAAAATGGATATCATTATTTTGGTTATGACAAACTCCTAATTTTCCTACATACTTTTTCCATTTTCTCAAATTTCCTGTCATTTACTCATTAATATAAACAAATGGTTTTCTTAAATAAAGCACCAGGTGTGTAGGTGTGGGGGGTGCTGATCTGAAAGCCTTCCTGGTTGTTCAACCGCTACAAGAACTGGAAGAATCAACTCAACCAACTTTTCAGGAAGAGGTGAGGGTCAAAAGTGACAGCGAACGAATGTGTCCAATCATCACCAAGCTAAGCCTCAAGAATTAGCTTATAAGCAGTATCAGCAACACAAGGGGGAAGGAAATCAGGAGATGAAATGATATCATTATTTAGTAAAAGTATTTTTAGTAAGACCTAGCAACATGGAATATATTCTACAAATGCAAATGTGAAATAATGTGCAAAAAGGCAAACAAACTTTTAGCATATTGTACGAAACGACAGCCCAAGGATAATTCTCTACATATAAGTTAGTAATGATATGAGACAACTAAAAGATTCACAGCAAAATGAAGAACAGTAGAAATATTCTTAAAATTGGGAAATAAAAAATGAAAGTTTTCTTAACAAAAAACATCAATGATAGTACTGAAATTCCATAAAAAAACTACCAGACTCTTTCTTTTTTCTTTTTTCTTTTTTTTCAGTGACAACTGACAAACTGACTAGTTTTCTGAAGGAGATGAAGATACGCTGAAATAGCTACAGTGGCTGTGACAGGGGACAAGATAAATCTTTGCTGAATGTTTGAGCTGATCATGAAAGTACGGTCACCAAGCCAGGCTCGGGTTAGAATAAGGCTGGAAAAAGGGTCAATGAGCAATATAGAGCCATAAACAGATCACACTGTGCAGACCCCGACACGTCACAGAGGGGCAGTGCAGTCTCTCTGCACAGGACGCTGCATGGACAGTGTCCACAGTCAGCACAGTGAATGTCCGGCCACATCTTGCACTGAGTATAAAGTGTAATTTTATTAAAGTAGAAAATGCTTTAAAAATAAAATATCATATCATAAACATTTTAGAAGGACACATGGGATTTAAAAAAATAATTCCTTTAATAAGTTACTGAAAATTGGATTTCATCATGCTTTTTTGAATAATATTTTTAAAAATTCGACTATACTAAGCAGGGAGGGGGCGGGAAGTACCTTTAGGTGATATATTTGAAAAAGTACTTGAAATTAAAATATGTAAAAAAATTTAAAAAAAATTCAAATTAAAAATTGGGTAGCGTTTTGAACAAATATTTACACCAAATATAAACACAGACGTGATTAGGCACTCCACATTATTAGAGATCAAGTAAACACAAATTAAAGTCTCACAGTGTAATCACTGCACTTCTGGTAGAATGTGAAATTCACAAAACTGGCCATAACGTTTGTTCACCATTGACCTATCTAAGTGCATATTAGGGAATTCAAGCCCTCATACACTGTTAGTGGGAGTGAGAAATGATATGACAACTTTCCTAAAATGTTGACAGTGCACTTAATATGCTTAGACCTTGCCATTCCACTCTTAGGAACCACTCATTAGAAATGAAAGTCTATATCCATTTAAAACTGGTTTTAGAATTTGGCTTAATGTTAAAAGCTCCAAAGGGAACATATCCCAGTGTTAGCCGCAGGTCAGGGGCTGCCTGGTTATAGCCAAAGAGGTGCATCATTTGTCTCACATACTCGTGTTGTGGAAGCAGCTTTGAGAAATAATGATCATTGAACAAAGTCACTCAACTGCCTTGAACTGGCATCGACACTGATGATCATACTTACCTTTCATTGGACTATGCAACGATAATGACAGTGAAGGTGGGCATTTATTGAACATTTATGTGTTTTAGCAGGAATGATCTTGAAACTTTAATAAAATCTTCCTAACTACTATGTTTATTATCTATACTTTGTAGTAGTAAAAGGCGAAAAATTTATACGATCTGAAAAGAAACCAGAGTATATTATTATTTGTACTTTGTAATAGAAGACTCAGAGAAATGACCTTAATTATTTAGGATGATAACAAATGAGTGGCAAGAGTCCAGCATCCAGAGCTGTCTGAACGGTGCTGGCTACCTCATGGTAGAGGAAGGCTTGGTCATCTGGTTTCCCAGCTGGGCTATGAGCAGATCAGTACCCCCCTGATACTTCAACATGGCTCGTGTGCCTTCCCTACCTCAGTCCCAGCCTCTATGCAGGCTCCTCCCCAGGGTCTGACAGGATGAGGCACTCAAATCACTGTTTTTCCTTAACCAGGAGCTGAGGGATCCTCTCAGTGGTTATAAGGTGGACCTCGCTGCTTTCTGGCATGAGGGAGACACAGCAAGCTCAGGAGGTGATGGGCTCATAGAGGTTGTCTCCTTAATATTTTTCACTCGTCTTCCCACCAGAACTGAGGGCTCAGACATGACCAGGTGCCTGATGTAATGAGAACTGACATAGGCCAGAAAGGATGGGGATTCTCAGTGAGCAGATTGTGTCTCTGTGCTCCGAATTCAGATGAGCACACATGGGTGTGTGATAGCGGTGGATGGATCTTGCCTCACAAATTTGTCTGTGCATGACCTGTCTCTTCTGACAGATGGAGAGTGAAAGGAAGGGATGGGAAGGAAAGGGAAGAGTAGACAAACAGCCAGAATTGGAGGCCAGTAAATGACACCCCTTTCTTTTCTCTCTTGCCCCAGGGCACAAAATACAACCACTCCCCATTAAGGATTTGAGAACCACTGCTGAGTGTGAGCTGAAGTCTCTTAAGCGGCCCTTTGATATAAAATATCTGTTTTCCCTCCTCCCTAACTCCACAGTTCATCTTTGGCTCCTCATCTTAGGTAATGAAAAGGATTGCAGAGTATAAAAAGCAAAGATGTGCTCCCCACCCTGGAGCAGGGGTTCCAGTATTTATCCATGAGCAGCAGGGGAGGTCGGATTAACCCTTACAGAATTAATTGGTAAGTGTGATCTTGTATTTTATTTGAGTTCTAAATGCATGGCTCTCCACTGCTCACTCTCGCATTCTCTCTCTCTCTCTCTCTCTCTCTCTCTCTCTCTCTCTGTGTGTGTGTGTGTGTATGTGAATATGCCAATGCTTAATTTGTCATCTCATTTCTGTGGTGGTAGCTGCAACCTGATGTGCCCAGAGCCTCACATTTTCCATCTTTCAACACTGCCCTGTTGCACTTTGGAGGAAGGTTCCCAGGCATTGCCACCACCGGCAGGTGCATAATGATGGGACCTCAGCGCCTACAGCAAGACTATGGGGTCCTCACCTGGCCCCTGCATGTTCGCTCTCTGACCATCAGATCCACCCTGGGAAAGGCAGGTAACTTCTCCTGTGAACATGGTAGTTTGAGAAATAAATGAGGCAATGCACAGACGACACAGCACCACGCCTGGCTCACGTCTGGGGACCAGTAGGATTATTTCAGTCAGTGTGTGTGTCACGCAGTTCTCCACGTCACTGCTGTCTCCCACACTGTGGAAGTTTAGAAACAGGATCAACAGTACTTTCCGCATGTAACATGCAGCCTCTACTTTCAGAAATTCAAGTTGTGTGGAAGCTCTTCTTATTACAGATCAACATGAATGAAAATTCTTGGAACACTGAGTGACAAATGGGGTCTCACAGCTTGTCCAATGAAGGCTATGACATCAGCGCTGACTGAGGGATTCTGGTTACTTACATATTGTCATTTCACCACTTTTACTTATTAGAGATGCTGCTTTGCACACTAGTAAATGTGTCTTTTGTTCCTCATCATTAAAATGGGAGTGATAATACTGGTTAACTAGGGAAATGTTGAAACTTGCTTACATATTAATGAGATAATGACACTGCACATTATTATTAGTCTCTGCTTGGAAATGGGTTGACTTTAGGTGCCGAGAATATTAAGTACCTTTGACCAGTAAGGATCCTGACACTTCTACAATAAGCACTTGTGTTCCAATTTAGAGGGATTCTCGCCTCATTAAGAGGAAAATGTCCTGTGTGCCCCAGATGCTTTTCCATATCTCTATATCTCCCCAGTGATGGACATTTGACTTGGCCTGATATAAATATGTAAATTAGCTATATATGAGACTTAATTCCTGTTTCTTATATTAACTCAGTGCTTTTTGTGGTGCCTGGAATGGATTGTAGTTCAAAACATACTGCAGAATAAAGAAAAGGACCTCCAGTTTCATGAAAGACAATATTGCTATCGGTGAGGCTGTCATGTACCAGGAGAGTTGGGACGTGACAGACTGGTTTTCAGGCATCAATAGGAGTACACAATAAGCAGAGCATTAGTTAAATCTAACACTATCATGTAACCAGCATATCGCTATAATGTTCTGGCTAATTCCTGACTTCCTACTTTACCCTCTTTCCTTCATCCTCAGCAGAGACATGAGCAGCATGAGGCAGGAGAACCAGAGCAGCGTGTCCGAGTTCCTCCTCCTGGGGCTCCCCATCCATCCAGAGCAGCGGGGGGTCTTCTTCACCCTTTTCCTGGCCATGTACCTGACCACTGTGCTGGGGAACCTGCTCATCATCCTGCTCATCAGGTTGGACTCGCGCCTCCACACCCCCATGTACTTCTTCCTCAGCCACTTGGCCCTCACTGATGTGTGTCTCTCATCTGTCACTGTCCCTAAGATGTTGACGAACATGCACACTAATGACAAGTCCATCCCCTATGCAGGGTGCATTACCCAGGCATATTTTTTCTTATTGTTGGGTTGTCTTGACAATCTCCTTCTGGCAGTGATGGCCTATGACAGGTACGTGGCCATCTGTCAGCCCCTGCACTACACCACCATCATGAGGCCGGAGCTGTGTGTCTCCTTAGCTGGTGGGTCCTGGTTCTTCTGCTGTGTCCACTCTCTATTGTATACTCTTCTCTTGGCCCGCCTGTCCTTCTGTGCTGACCGTACCATCCCACACTTCTTCTGTGACCTCACCACACTCCTAAATATGAGTTGCTCAGACGTCTCCCTCAATGAGTGGGTCATGCTCATTGAGGGAGGGATGCTCTTCATATTACCTTTGAGTGGCATCTTGGGCTCCTATATACGGATTTGGACCACTGTCCTGAGAGACCCCTCAGCTAAGAAATTCTTCAAAGTCCTGTCTACCTGTGGCTCCCACCTCCTCGTTGTGTCCTTATTCTATGGGACCATTGCAGAAATTTACTTTTTCTCCTCATCATCTATGTCCAATGATAAAAAATGATTGCCTCTGTGATGTATATGATAGTCACCCCCATGCTGAACCCCTTCATCTATAGCCTGAGAAACAGAGACATGAAGTGTGCCCTGGAAAGACTTGTTCCTTATGACAAAAAACTTGATCTGAATGTGTAGTAAAATAAAATAAAATTGACAAGATTCTGTTATAGCTGGACATTGTGTTCTGCGCGTCCAGTTCAACCTGGGCTGCGTGTACATTCTCATCAAGTTAGCCTTTCCTAAGATAATCTGACAAATTCAGTTTTGTTTACCCGGACTGACACTTTCAGTATTCCAAGTTTTTTTTTGTTTTGTTTTGTTTTGTTTTTTAACATTGTTGTAATCCATGATGCCTTATTATACCATGCACAGAGCTTGAAGTCAGAGTAGTGAATGCCAACTGGCAAAGTGAACACGGTAACTCCTCCACCCCACCACACCTGGGAAACCTGCCTCTCTCCTTGACTTCCTCATGGTCAAAGCAAGGAGGGAGCTAGACTGAGCATTATTGAAAATTCTGCTGCCATTAATAGAAAATCCAATTTTTAAAAACCTGACAATTCCAAGGTAAATATTGGTCACTCCTATCTTCATTTCCTTTTGAATTGGGTCTATATGAGTTAACTTGTCTCTAATAAATGAATATTGATGCAAGTTGGAAAATTTTCTATTTTCAGTAAGTGCTTTAGTTCTTTTTAAGAAATAATTTTTTTTGAAATGCAAGAAATATTCTAGTTCTTATTCTAGTAGTAGTTACAGTGGATCTATATCTCACGAATATAAATTTTGTGAGACTACGCATTTTGAATTAATCCAGTTCATGTAAACATTAGACAGCAACACAAAAATGAAGGGGTGAGAAAAATATAATAAACAAAATCACAATTTTTTGAGAAGAACAGTAATGGAGATGCGTGTGGATAAAATTATATAAATTGGGGATTGTATTATAATTAACACATGTGGCCTTTGCAATCTGAAAATAAAACATGCATTAGTGATACATATGATACATTCACATAAATATACAGAGGAAATATTTATTTGATATATCTATATTAAATGAGTATCTTTATTCTGGTGGTGTAATTCCCCTAAATGTTCCACATTACCTCTTTGTTACTCAATTTTCTGACTTAACATGTAGCTGTAATCAATAAAGTCTTTGCTCCTGTTACATTGTTACCCAGATTAGTGAGGGGGTGATTTCAATTTGCTGAAATGGGAACCTTCTTGGCTGCTCATGCACAGGAGCAGGGAGAGTGAGCTCAACTGTGTTTTCAAGGGAGAGGTGAGGCCCAGGAGTAAGTGGAGGCTGTAAACACCCCATCGTCACTCACCTAAGCCAGAGAAATGCTTATCAACAACAGCAGCTCACAGGAAGAAGGAAATCAAAAGATGAGGGAATGCTATCTTTATACAGTAAAAATATTTACTAATCTATTTCCACATGGAAAATATTTGACAAACCTGAATGTGCAATGAAGAAATTTGCAGAAAAGCAAACAAACAAAAGCACTAGCAGATTTTAACTAAAGGAGACCCCAAGGGTATTCTCTACATGCAAAGTAGCGATTGTATGAGACAACTTGGAAATTCACAAAGAAATGAAGAGGTATAGAAATGTTCATAATATTGGTAAACGTAAAAATAAAAGTTTTCTAAACAAGAAGTATCAATGAAAAGCATGGAAATCTCATAAAGAACTACCAGATTTTCTTTCTTTTATTTTCAGTGAAAATTGACAAGCTGATTCTAGATTTCTGAAGGAGATGCAGACAAGCCAGAACAGCTAAAGCAGTTTTGAGAAGAGGATGAGATGAGTCTTTGTGGACTGTATGACCTGATCATAGAGTTTGGTAATCAAGTCAGACTCCGGTTAGAATAAGGAAGGAAAAGTAGGTCAGTGGAACAGCACAGAGCCCATAAACAGATCCACACTGCGCAGACCCCGACACGTCACACAGGGGCAGTGCTGTGGGGGGAGGGACTACAGTGTCTGCACAGGACACTGTAGGGACAGTGTCCACAGTCAGTGCAGTGAACATCCAGCCACATTTTGCACGAAGTATAAAATGTCACATATGAAAAGGACAATGGGATAAATTCTGTGATCCTGGGCTAAGCATAGATTTCTGATAAAAGCAAAAAAAAAATTAATTCCTATAAGAAGTTACTGAAAATTGGACTTCATCATGCTTTTTTAAAATAATATTTCAAAAGAATATGGCTATAATAAGCATGGAGGAAAGTATCTTTAAGTAATATATCTGATAAGGCACTTGAAATCAAAACGTGAAAAACTTTCAAAGAGGCTCAGTTTTGGGCAAAAAAAATTAAAAATTGGGTAAAAGATTTGAACAAATATTACACCAAATAAAAATACAGACATGATTAGATGTTCCACATTTTTACAGATCAAGTAAACACAAATTAAATTCCCAAAGCATCATCACTGCACTCCCGGTAGAATGTGAGATTTAATAAGCTGACCATAACACAATTGACCACATCTACTAGAACGTTCACCACTGACCAATCTAAGTGTCCACCAGGAAACTCAAACTCCCATACACTGTCAGTGAGAGTGAAAAATGATATGACAATTATTACCCTTAGACCCTGCCTGCCACATCACTCTTAGGGACCATTTACTAGAAATGTCAAGTCTACGTCCATTTAAAACTGATCTGTGAATTCGGCTTAATGTTAACAGCTACTAAGGGAAGAAAACCCAGCGTTGGCCGCAGGTAAGGGGCCCCTGGTTATAGCCAGAGAGGGGAGAGGAAAGTGCAGGGGGAGGGGTCACAGGAGGGTGGTGGCCACCTTCACAGGTGATCATGAACTTCTGCTTTATAGACATGATGCTTTCAGAAGTGAATGTGTAAGTCAAAGCTGAACAAACTGTGCAGTTTAAATATCTAGACTCTAATGCGTACCAATTATAAAGAAAGAAAAGTAATGAGATAAATTTGAATAATCCCATACCAATTTACGAAATTAAATTTTCATGCAAATTTCCTTACAAAGGAAAGTTTAGGGACAGGTATCACCACAGGTGATGTTACTGAACATATTTAATAGAAAAAGAGAAGCAAAGTTACAGTTTTTAGCAACTTTCAGAAAAATCATTCTATGATTATGTTGTTCTGGTTGATTTCTTTTAATATGTTTGTTGATCACTTGTAGACTTGGTCGCTTAGCTAATTATATTAATAATAATTCTGGTTCTATGTAAATAAAGTATGACAGAGATGTGACTAAGGAAAATCCCTGGTCTCTGGGAGCTCTCACTCCCTGCCCCAAAAGCTGAAAGAAAACAAAACCACGGTGGAAAAGATGTGTATGCAGACTCTTCGTAAAGTGGCCATTTGTGCAGGACCCTCCTCAAGGTTCTCTCCCTCACACCTTGCCCACCTGAGTCCGCTCCCATTTTTTGATAAGTGTCCTTCTGTCTGAGCTACAGAAGCTGCATTTCAGAGTCTGAGGCCTCTGGAGCCCCCTTGTGTGCAGCCCTGTGCTGGCCTCGGGTGGGAGGGCTGCGGGAGGGCTCGGTGGCACAGCCTCCCTCCTAGAGGTGCCAAGAGTTTGGGGACAGAGCAGCATGTCCCTCATTGTGGGGAAGTTACCTGCATAATAAAAGTGGGGGTGTGGACTGAGGTGGACAAGGGTATAGGGGAGAATCTTGAGGAGGGTCCTGCAAAAATGGCCACTTTGGGAAGAGCCCAGAGGATCACTTGGGAGGTGTCTGAACAGAGCAGGTGTAAAACTGTATTGACTGATGTACTGAATTTGTATCACACAGTTGTGTTGTTCTTTGGATACAGCTTAGTGTGTCTCAGAAAAGAAACAGGTTTTATGAGCTTGAAGAATAGATTAAACAATAGATTGTCATTCAATATCAACGTCGATGACTCGATGTTGTTATCTTTTGTTGATTATACAAAGAAAGAAGAGCTGACACTAAAAAGGGCACTTGGTGTTTGAGCAGAAATGATCCCAAAAAACCTTAATAAAGATTCTTAATATTAATACCATTATTGTCTTTATATATAATGATTACCAAGGTTGTGAGAAGTTACTTTACAAATTTAGGGTCGTCAGAATCACGGGCAGAGCCCAGCACTCGGTGCTGTCTGAGCAGGCACTGACTATGTCAGTACTGGAGGGTGCCAGGTCATCCTGTTTCTAAGGTGGGGCCATGAGCAGCCCAGGGGCCCCTGATCCCAGGGACACCCTCAGGTAGTGACTCCTCCAGCTCAGTCCCTCCAGCCTCCAGGCAGGCTCCTCCCCAAGGTCTGGCAGGAGCTAGGGACAATTAAGTGACTGTCTTCCCTTAACCAGGAGCTGAGGGACCTTGTCCTTGTCCTCTCAGTGGCTTATTAAATGGTGACCTCCTGGCTGTTCCAGCATCAGGGACAAAGAAGCTCGGGAGATGATGGGCTCATGGAGGATGTCTCCTTACTATCTCTCACTGGTCCTCCCAGCAGAAGCTGGGGACTCGGACACTGACTAGGAGGTGCCTGATGCAACAAGGAGTGAGAAAGGATGGCGCGGTGGGGGGAGGGGGTCTACCTGAGCGGAGGATGCCTCTGTCCTCTGAGGTCAGATGTGCCCTCCATGCAGGTCTGTGTGTATGGAGGAGGATCAATGTTTCTCTGTGTGTGTGATTGCTGTGCCTCAGATGAGATAGGGGTAGAAGAGAGTGAAAAAAGAGGGAAGGCACAGTGAAGCAAAAAGAAGAGATGAGAAACAGTAAGACAAAGGAGGAGGAAAGAAAGGGAAACAGAGGTAGTACGAGCTGGAGAGACACAACCCAGGTGTTTCCTGTTAGCCCAGGGCACAGCACCAGTGAGCTCCCATTAAGAAAGAGGAGACCACTGCTGAGTAGTCTGCAGTCTCTTCACCAGTTCTAGGACCGCAAACACCCTCCCTTCCTCCTCCGTAACTCTCCCGTGCTCACCTCCAGTGACTCATCTCAGGTATAATGTAGAGTGGAAAGAGCGAAGACGTGCTCCCCACTCTGGGCAGGAGGCTCTTGCATTTACCCAGGAGCAGCAGGGAAAGACTTTAAATTGTCACAGAGTCAAGTGGTAGGTGTGAGCTTGTATTTGGATTATATGTGCATGTCACAC